CTTAAAATTAAATTAAACTTGTCATGCCTACTTTCACTTTGTTGACCTGATTCTTGCTCATTTTTTAAGTATAACCACAGCATATCATTTAAAGGTCAAGTATGACCCTTAAGTCAAAGATTCTGGCCCTTCTGATTTTCCATGTGATCTGTCCTTTAAGATAAAACTCAGAATGACCAACTAAGCCTAAAGAAGATAAACAGTGGCTTCAATAATGCACCTGAGAGGCAAAGAAGCATTTGTTATATGAATCATCCTGCCCCAAAGGTTACATTGTGACAGCTTTGATGTGTCAAAATGGCTGGGCAAATCAGTGTTTATTAAACATAAACTTTGAAAACTAAACTAAACCTGGACATCTTAAAAGAATGTTGAAGCTGACACCTTCATGGCTCAGGGAGGAAGATGTAATGATACTCCACTGTCCTCAGAAAAGATTTAAATATCACTGCACTGAAACTTCAGATCCACATACGAATATATATATATATATATAACTTCTAGCAATTTGTAGCCAGCGCCTTTCATTTACACTGAAAAATGGAAGCTAATAAGTTGCAGTCAAATTTTCCTTTATAGAGGTGTCATCACTGGGCAAGAGAGATTTACAGGGGAATCAATGCATCTGTCTTCACAAGAAGATACAATTTATTTGCAAAGATGAGCCACGTCATCTTCTCAATATGCTTCTGCACTGTATGTATGTTATGTTAAAATATGAAGTGGATTTTTTTTTTTAGATTTTTTATCCCGCCTTTCTTATTTTGATAAATAATTCAAGGCAGTGAACATGCCTAATACTCCTTCCTCCTCCTATTTTCCCCACAACAACAACCCTGTGAGGTACGTTGGGCTGAGACAGAGTGACTGGCCCAAAGTCACCCAGCCGGCTTCCATGCCTAAGGCAGGACTAGAACTCACAGTCTCCTGCTTTCTAGCCTGGTGCCTTCACCACTAGACCAAACTGGTTTTAGTCAACTTCCTATTGTAACAGACTAGGACAGCTGAAGGAACAAGCAGTGTAAATTGAATCTACTCTTGAGATAATCTTGGATTAGTTTCTCAGACATCCAAAATTAATTCAAGCTCTAATCAGGTTAATGACCTTATATGACCATTTCAAAATCTAGCAACACAATGAATCTGGGAAAAAGAGGAGGTGAAGCTAGCATGCATTACCCCATGTTCCTTAAATACACTTAAATGCCATATTTGGACCAAATGCCTGAAGAAAGTTTAAGAAGTGGAACAAGGTATTGTTAAATATTGAGTGGAATAAGAAGAAATCTTTCTTCATAAACAGACGTGAGATCAGTTTTCCCTTGTTTATTACCACTTTACAAAGCAGTTTACTCTGACGGATAACATACAGAAGATGAGAATAGTAAAGGATGGCTACTGAAATGGGAATTAAAACTAGTGCCATCTGATGCTTCTCTTTGGATGAGAACAGAGGTGAGAGAGACATGACTAAAATACATATCACAACATTTACAATATTTAGAACTTGGACAAGTTACTACGAGAAGCTAAATATTTAGCCTTCAGGGTCTCTTCTCAGTTGTAATAAATTTGGCAACTGAATGGATAGATTTAAGCTATGAGGGAAACATAGCTGTTACAGATGTAGAAATCTGACTGGGATTGTGGGAATGATCCCCAGGAGACAGCTTGGAAGTAATGTTTGGACTCCAAACAATGAAAATTGGACAATTTAGGAGTTTACCTTTGGGAATATTTGGGCATAGGGGAAGAAATTAAGCATATACTGCAGCTTTCAGAATATACCAGTTCACAATGTATGTTAAGTAAAGGAGGATGACACAAAAATTGTTGCTGGAATAAAATCTACGAGTCTTAATTGGAGAAAGAGCTTCACAGAATATTTTTGATTTTTTAATTTGCATTGCATTGAAAGAAGTCAAATAAAATGTCATTGGAGTAGCAAACCTTAGAAATGAAAATATACCAAATAGAATAGATCTGGATGTTGGAAAAAGGATGACATAAATGGTAAATTATGTTGCTGCTCTTGAAGTTATCCTAAAGCGCTAATTTACTGAACTCAAGTTTTATACATGGTCAAACAGAAAACTGAAATTAGTCTTCATTTAGATGCTTTAATAATCATGCCATTTAATAGATGACCAAAATACAGATGAGATAGATGAACTGAAATCTACATGGATCAATCTGCCAAGAACAGCTATAATCCTTGTCACAAGGGAATGATTGCTTAAAACAACAAACGGACTCCAAAGGATCTACTAGCAGATGGTGCACAGAAAAATATATAAATAAATAATAAAGTAGACAAAGAGGAGGAGGAGGAGGAGGAAGAATAATAAAGATACATATGTTAGAGATTAGTGAAGTATTTTTCTTGCTGATCGTAATATCATTCAGGAGGTTCATTTTGTGAAATGGACTCAGGTCACAAAAAAGAAACACACAGTGAACATATAAAATACATTGTTCTCAAAAGTGGTGAAGGCAACATATGTTTTAGATATTATATAAATTTTATGTATGACTTTATGGGAGGATTAAGACAAACCCGTGCTGGAGGATGACAGCTCTATTTATAGCTATTAATTGTGACTGAATCTCCATGTTTAGAAGCAAAACATTAATGAAGAATCCCACAGTACGGTGAAGATCAAGTGTTACTGTGACATAAGCTATCATGAACTAAATTTCATGATTTATGTCACACAAAGTCTTTCAAGTACTACGAAGTGTCAGTCCCCTCCACCCCCACTGTTGCTCTAGCTAACTAACATAGATTACTCCCTGGAGGATGCCAACGTATGAGGTAGGAGATCTCTGAATATTCAACATAAAAAGCCAGGGCAAGCTACTATATATAAACAGGGAGCAAACTCCACCCTCACTAGCACTGGTGATGTTACCCAGTCAGGTAATGAAATGTCTGCAAACAACCAAGCTCAGAGAGCATCAAGGACTCCACAGTACAACCCTGAGCTACATATATTCTCTTCTATTGGCATACCAAATTGTTGGACAATGAGTACAGAAGCTATTAAGTAGGGCTCAGCTGCTAGAAGGACAGCCTGTAATTGCCCTGGAGGATGCATTTTTGCAAAAGAAATTCAGGTTTCAAAGTATAAATGGAGTTCAGGACAAAATCTCTCCAAGGGATTGCATTTAGAAGAATGTGGTTAGGGCTTAAGCCCAGAGCTATAAAATCATCATCTAGCTCAAGCCTCTGGCAATTCATGAATGAGATCAACCAACAAGTAAATAAGCAGGAATAAGAGTATAAAATGCAAGGCCCAAATTCTATCTCCTAAACTGAAAGGTAATGTCTGTTTTGAATAGAGTTTGACTTCTGGTGCCTTAATAGAAATGTCCATGTAGCTTTCCTAGTTGTTATAAAAAATAATTTGCCATCGCTTCTTCTCGGATTTTTTTTTTTTTTTTACTTCTCGTCTACCCTGCAGATATGGATTTCCTTGTGGCCTTCCACAACTGGAAAGTTGAGCTTGTAGGTTATTTTTTTTTTGCTCACACTAGAAGTTACCTATATGAATATATGCATCAACAGATATTTCTGCAGAACAAAGAGGAGCCTTGATGTTAGAAAAAGATTCTTACAACAAGATATAAATGTATAACTGCTGGCAGGGTACAAAAATATTGGTAGGGCTGAGAAACAGCAGCAACTGACTTTGGCTAATCTTGGAAGTTAAAGCATATTGAGTCCAGTTAGAACTTGCTGGAAGGCCACAAGGAAATCCTTATCTGTAGGGTACAGTTTGACTCCTGGTGACTTCACGGATAGTTCATGCAGTTTTTTTGGCAACAATAAAGGACTGCTCACCAGTGCCTTTTTCCAGGATGTTTTTCAACTTTCCACTCTATTTCTCAACTCCTGGTATTCCCTGGAGGTCTACTATCCAACTAACTGGGTCCAACCATGCTTAGTTTCTGAATCCAGACAAGGTAAGACAGATGCTACCACATGCAAGAAATAGTAAGACAGAAAATAATGGACTGTCTCTCCATTCCTCTTTCCCATATACCAAACATATGGGCATTAATTATTACATTGTTGACTAAGAATCACAACTTCAGATTTCACCAATCTTGAGCATGGCAAAAAGGAGAACTTGAGGGAAAAGTTACGAATGGAGGAAGTTCCATTCGTAAAGGCTGGAGCCATTTGAATAAAGGAGCCAGATCAACCCCAGCCAGGGGTAGAATGCATTTATTGCTCTTTTTTTTCTATATATGAAAATATTAGTCACCCTTTTCTAGGGGAACTGGTAGGCTGGAGTCATCTAACATATTCAACTTGAATTAACTTATTTTTTCTTTGGAATACAGGGACCCTATTTTCCAGAGTTCTCACTTGAAGCACAAGTGATCATGCTCAAATTTTGGACACATTATATAAAGATCTAGCTGGGTGAGGTAGAAGGAAAGAGAAGAGGACAACTAGAAGCAAGGTGGATGGACTAGATTGCAGCACTGGGAGACCTGAAGGGCCAGATCATCAATCAATCAATAAATCTAAGCAAATGTGATGAGTACACATAATATGCTAAACTATGCACACAAAAAGATGAAAACCAATCAAGCATGTTGTGCAACATTAGCATGTTGTGCAAACATAGTCATTAGTGGTTTTTAACTACTCTGGGTGAAATGTACTATGTGTATTCAGCAACGGGGTCCTGAACTCAAGGACACTGTCAAAAGAAAGGCCAAATGTTTTGATAGTAATAGCAGCACTGGTCCCCAGAAATGGAGATCCTGCAGGGACTACCAACATGGCAAACATACAGTAGTTCTGTACAAAGATCAGAGAAAGTCATATTATGCCCTTTCTTCCTTCTGTCTCCCTAAAAGCACATACACACACATCAGACACCACTGCTTGATTAGTAAATTATACATGGACCTCATGCATCCTGAGGACATCTCAGTTTCTGTGTGCCATCAGCACCAACCTGGGCAGCTTGTGGAAGGCCTACCTGTCACGAGAAAGCTGCACCGGCCAGCCCCTGCCTCATTGATGATATTGCAACTGTAATTCCCATAACTGTCCCTTGAGAGGCTCCTGATTGTATACTCTGTGGAGTCCTGAGCATCAAACCTTCCGGTCCGAAGAAGCTTGCTGCCCAATCGCCATTCAAAAGTCAAAACCCGAGTTGGGTAAGCCCTCAGCACCCGGCAGCTCATGGTGACGCTTCGGCCTTGGCCTTGTCGAATCTCAAGGAATGTTGGCTCAACAGCAGGTGGGTCTGCAGAGAAAAGAATGAGAGGGTGTGAAAAAGAAGGGACACAGCAAACAACCACGTCCTTCCCACCCTTGATTCCCTCACATCTGGCTACTTTTGTCCTGAAATCTTGAGAAAATAAACTCCCAGATTAATCAGTTTACCTATCATTTTGCCTCAAAAGGTTAGTTATTGGAGCTGCTTTTGAAAACCATTCAGAAGTTATAGTTGGCCCACATGGAAGAGCAGGCTGCTTGAACAAAATTGCAGGCACCTGTGCTGCCTTCTTTCCCTCCCATTTGAGCCTTTTCCCCAGGATCAGCATGGCAGAGCTACCAATAAAGGTGCAACCTTGAGACAGGTGTGGGAGGAGAATGGAGGAGATGTGTGTTTTGGAGCTCTGCAGCCACCAGCAAACTGAGGACAGCAGCCAAAGGAAAGAAAGTGTTTTTTCTTTAGAAGGAGTGGACAGTCCAAAAGAGAGGAAAAAGAGTATAGAGACCCAGCAAGGCAAAGCACAATGAGGAAAAAAGTTGCAAGAGCTGTATGTGCTGCCCAAAAGAATGTGAAAAAGAAGAAGAAATCTCAGAGACAGGGAACTTGAGATAGAACAGGCTTAAGAAAGATACATTGATGCATATTAGTAATAGTATAGAGCACTGTATATTGAATAGTAATAGTATAGAGTATAAACATTATCATAGTAATAGTAACTGAACAGTAATAGTAATTGTCATAGTAATAGTATAGAGATAGCAATAGAACAGAATATAGGAATAATTCACATATCACTTTTATACATTTGTCTTTACAAAATAAAACATCTCTCCAACCCTTATAGGGAGATATAAAGAAATGACCTGTCCAGGATCCAGTGCTTTTGTGTCTCTCTTGAGTCTGGGTCAATCTAATCAGGTACAGTTCTTTTTAAAAAAGAACCCATGACAGTCCAAAAGGTGACAACTAAGATTTTGATTGGCTGAAGTTGACTTTGGCTGATCTAAAAAAGTTTGGGATCTTATTCAGAATGAGATGGGAGACTACCAATCAATAAATTAGCCTGGGAAGTAAAAATAGTCTAGAAGACATAAACTCCTTCTGTATTGTTAATATAGCAACAATCTCTAAGATGCGTCTATAAAATGAATATCTGAGGGACCAACTACCTCCAGTTGGCTCTGCCCACCCAGTATGTTCTGGCAGAGTGGACGTGCTCCAGACTCCCTCTATTACATGCTAAACATTTAACACTGTAATTTTGTGGGACTGATGCCTTCTCTGTCAGGGACCCTGCCCTCTGGAACAGCATCTCCCCAGAGATACATAGGTTCCCACTTTCCTGGAGGTACAGAAAGCCCTTAAGACGTGGCTTTGGTCCCAGGTCTGATGCTAATGTGTTTGTGAAGCACCTGTTGCGGTTTCTTGTTCTTGTCATGGTTGTTTTAGTATAGTATATCTGTGTTGGGGTTTTATCTTTCTTTCTTTCTTTCTTTCTTTCTTTCTTTCTTTCTTTCTTTCTTTCTTTCTTTCTTTCTTTCTTTCT